TTTTGTTTTGTTTTTATATTTTATTTATTATTTTTATTTTATGTGTATGAGTGTATTGCCTGGATGTATGTGAGTGCACCTGTGTGTCTTCCCATCTCTGTGCTTTTTATATCCTTTTCTTGCCTTATTGCATTAGCTGAGACGTCTAGGGCCATTTGAATAGGACTGATAAGAACAGAGATCATTAGCTTGTTCCAGATCTTAAGTGAAAAGCCAACCTGCCTGCCTTTTTTCCACCATCAAGTATGATGTTAACTCTAGTGAATTTTAAATTTAATTACATGTATGGGAGGGGTATGTACATGTGAATTTAGGTGCTCGTAGAAGTCAGAGGCTTTGGATCCCCAGGAGCTAAGCTAAGTTATAGGCAGTTGTGTACAACCCAACATGGCATGGTTGTTGGGCATTGAAGTCCTATCCTCTGGAAAAGCATTATGTGCTCTTAACCCTGAGCCATCTCTCCAGCCCAGCTCTAGTCGTTTTTGTTGCTGTTGTTGTGGGGTTTATTTTTTTAATATTTTATTTATTTTACATGTATGAGTATATTGCCTGCATGTATGTAAGTACACCCATGTTGGGCAGTGCCCTCGGAGGTCAGGAGAAGGCATTGGATCCACTGGAACTATTAGTCACCATGTTAGTGCTAGGATTTGAACCTGGGTCTTCTATAAGAGCAGCCAGTGCTGTTAATCAATGAGTCATCTTGCCAGCCCTATTTTTTTTTTTTATAGGTATGCTTTATCAGGTTGGAAATATCTCTTTCCATTCCTGGTATGATGAGAGTTGGTAGGGCTTATTTGTTTTTTATGTGTATGTATCTGTGCCTGTGTGAGTTTATGTACTCCATGTGCTTGCCGATGCTCTTAGAAGCCAAAAGAGGGACTCAGATCCCCAGGAACTGGAACTTCAGCCAGTTGTTAGCTGTCATGTGGGTGCCAGGAACTGAACCCAGGTCTTCCACAAGAGCAATAAATGCTTTTAACCATTGAGCCATCTTTCCATCCATATTTGTTTTTAAATCATGAATAGGTCCCTGCCTCTCTCTTCACTCCCTCCAAAAGACTGTCCCAGGATACTGCTAGGCACTCACACTGGC